ACGTGTATGATCTGGTTCCCCGACTATATATAGCAGTTGAACCGACGATATCCAACGTGTTACCGAAGGATGACCTTGCTGCAGAAACGGTCACCTTAGGATGCTGTGGGAAGGACGTCACCGGAAAATTGTCATAGGCCTACGGACTAGGATGTTCGTCAGAGCAGGTATTAAGCCGCCTCAGGATGTAGTGGAAGGGCGCCGCCTGCCGGGACGCCCGTAGATCCAGCGAAGGACCAGGAACTTACCAGCGCAGGTATCAGGCGTCCCAGGATGCTGTGGAAGGGCGCCGCCTGCCTGGACGCCCGCAGAGCCAGTCAAAGGCAGGTACCTGCGTCAGCCGCCCTGAGATGCCGAAGTGGACGCCTGCTGTTCGGACGCCCGTAAATCCAGACGAAGACGAAGATGCGTGCTTCTGGACGAGCATGCAGCCGAGAAGAACCTGGACGAGATCTAGACGAGTCCGAAGTCAAGGAGTACCTGTGCGAGACCTTTGTGGATGTCGAGGACGGATGGATATGCCAAGGACCAGAATGAAGAGGATGCCAAGGACAAGCAGCCACGAAGATGGTCCAAGGATAACGCACACGAGCACAAGATGACCAGCCAATCAGGACCAGTCAAAGGACGTGCCGGAGGAGCTGCCTGCCGAGGACGCGCTGGAGGAGCTGTCTACCGAGGACACGCCGGAGGAACTACCGTCCAAGGATACCCTGGAGGAGCTGCCGTCTGAGGACATACTGGAGGAGCTGCCTGTCGAAGACGCGCCGGAGAAGCTGTCTTCCGAGGATACGCCGGAGGAACTACCGTCCGAGGATACCCTGGAGGAGCTGCCGTCTGAGGACATACTGGAGGAGCTGCCTGTCGAGGACGCGCCGGAGGAGCTGCCGTCTGGGGATAAGCCGGAGGAGCTGCCCGCCAAGGAGACGCCGGAGAAGCTGCCGGGAGTAGAAGGACCGTTGGAGGAGCAACAGTGCAGCCAGTCTGACAGAAGGCAGAATCGCGATCGCCGGAAGAGTGTGGCTGACGGAAGGGCAGGCCCTGGGGCCACATCACCGCTGGATGTAGGACCTCGAGGCCTCGGTGTGGACATCTCGCTGTTGTGGTTCTCTGAAAACAATCTCCAATTCTTGGAAGATTATTTTGAAGAAAGAAGGGAGATAAGTCACAACACAGCTCGTGGCGAACGTGGGCGTCGGCCTTTACATCGGCGCGACGCTTAAAAGGAGCACCAGCCAAAAAAAATCAGCAGTTGTCTCGTGACTTTGACTTGTGTGCTCCCTTCCGCTATGTGACCTCGCCTGCTCCGCTGGATCCCCTCCCTTCTGTTTGTACATACCCTGTTTTGTTGTGTAATTTAGTGCCCTTAGCAGTAATAACCTTGAGTATGTTTCCTCTGATGTGTTTCCGTTGACCTGCCGGTCTGATTCTTAAAACGAACCCTGATACCCACAATCTTGTATTTCTTTTTGGATGCTTGATGACATCTGTACCCAAACCAGGCTTGGTTCCTTGGTTTAGTGATGTATGTCCGTGAAGGGACTCCTGCACTTCGGCGAGGAGGCTGGAGAACATCCCAGTTTTATGACTGGAGTTCTGCCTTCATGCCAGTTTGCGTGGTTCCAAAGGTGTATTTTTCTTTGTCTCCTTTCGTCAGCTGCGGGGGCGAGGAAAAGATATGATAAAACTGCAAGGTGATTTAATGTTCCTATTTTGCCGAGCGATGAGCAGGAGATAAAGTCCACAGTTAGATCCGATATACTAGGATCGAGAGATCTACCGAGGATGTGCGTCGGGAAATCAACGTAATCTGTCAGCCCGTGACTTGCAAGAAGGTCCTCATATACTGACTGAATGAGATGGTGATTAAGGTCCCCAACTATTAAGAGATGCTGACAGTAGTTGCGAGCCTGAAGGACGTCTAAATTTTCCGTTAGGAAGTCCAATCCTGAAGTGCTAGGCCTTGCTGAGTTTGTGTGTAACTACAAAGCCTGTCAGGCTTTTCTCTGCTTCATGGTCTCTGCTATCTCCCTGCTTCTTCCAGTCATTATGCCGATAAAATATATCTCCATTCTCCAACTAGCTTCTTTAACCGTCGTCGCTGGGCCGACGGTACCCGTTGCATATTTCTCACACCGTCCCGGGGCTGACTGTGCGCGTCGCATACGGAGGACGCCCTAGCATTTTCCGAGGCTAGCAGTACGTGGTTTCGATCCATGTTCTTCGTAGGGTGTTTTTACGCTAGGCTTACGAGGCCTGACATTTTTTTCCACAAACCAAGTCACCAAGGCACCCAGACACACAACGAGCCAGCTGTGATCAATCAAGACATTATCGAAAACAAGATTGACTTGCTGATTAGAATGTTCTGTGACCAGCAGTCCACCATCAACAAAATGCTTGGCCAAGACGTGATGCCTACTCAGAGGCAGGAATGCGAAGAGGAAGCATCACTCATGGGAGATTCACCCCCTCCCTCCAAACCCCGTTCTTCCTCTCCTCCCCTACCCACAACCAGTCCTCATACCAACCCTTCAATTCCACCCCCCCCCCCCCCTGTAAGAACATCTTTTACCTACACCCTGGAAAATCATGAACACTCACACAACCTCCCCCCCCCCCCATACAATTAATCCAATCAGCAAAACCAATTTATTTTCAAAATAAGTTCAATGACTGAAAAAGTTAAATTGTTAGCACCAAACAAAAAACACCACACAGACACGTCCCTAGATTCCTTAAGTAGTATAGAACATCTAAACGACTACTTTGCAAATATCGGTAGACTCACCCATGAACAGACAGCCGCTTCCTTGGCCCCACCAAACACAAACAAGACATGGCTCTCAACGAATGCTTTCAGACCACAGCCAATAGGAGTCTTAACAATAAAACACTTACGTGAAACGAATGCTATAGGAGTGGATAAAATTGCTTTTCGATTCATCAGAGAAAGCTTACCCGCAATTGCTTTCTATTTAACTGTCATTATAAACACATCCACAGTCACCGGTGCCTACCCATCACTATGGAAACATGGTATCATAATACCCATTTTCAAATTAGGAGATACAGAACAATTGAACAATTATCGTCCTATCACTACTCCCAGTGATATCTAAATTGCTAGAAAAAATGTTGCAAATCAACTATCAACATTCTTAGAATCTAATAACCTTATTCCCGAAACGCAACATGGATTTAGAAGTAAGCTAGCCACTGAAACAGCCTTACTAAAAATCACAAACAAAATTTATGATAACAGACAAGAATCAAATGAATCTACTCACATTGTGTGATCTATCAAAAGTGTTTGACAGTGTCAGCATAAAATCCTGCTTAACAAAATGAAAAATCATGGAATAGACAACTATTGGTTCAAAAGTTATCTATCCACAAGAACGCAGGCAGTCAAAATTCGTAATAATATGTCAACTCTTTCGGTGTCCCACAAGGCTCTATATTAGGCCCGATCTTGTTCACTATATTCATAAACGATCTATCAAACATTGCAAACAACTGTCTCCTTCAACATGCCGATGACTCTCAGTTTCTTCACGCTGCCCCTGTAAGCAATTGATATGAATTGATAAGAAATACGCAACAGACTCTTACAGAAGCAAAGATGTATTTTGACAACAACAGCCTCAAACTAAATCCCGATAAAACTCAACTCAGTCTTTATAGGCAGTTTGCAAAACATAGCCAAAATCCACAATAACACAATCATAGAATTTGAAGGCCATCATATCAAACCAAGCATTTCCGCTAAAAATCTAGTACACATAGATAGATACATGACTTTCGAAACACACATGGACAACATTCACAAAAAAGTGATGGGCACACGGATATACCTAAATCACATAAAAAATACAAAATCCCCACTGAGACGAGAATTGTTGTTGTACAAACCCTTGCACTAAGCATTATAAACTACTGCTCCAACATATGGGGCTCAACCAACAAAACTCACAGACGGAAAGCACAAAATCTACAAAACTTTGCCGCAAGAGTGGCAATAGGCAACATAAATAAACATGACCACATAACCCCCCACTTGAAAAAAATAAAATGGTTAAAAGTTCCTAAAAAATGTCAATTTGATACATGTATACTCATTCATAAATTCAGGAAGGGCGATTATCCCCATTGGTTAATGCCTCTAAAAACAATTGGTAACAAAACAGGCTTCCAAACCAAGCAGATTAACTCTCTACACGTCAAAAGATCACATACGGAAGCAGGGTCAAGGCAAATGCAAATCCGAGGACCCGAGATCTGGAACAACCTACCGCAAAACATCAGAAACATCTCCAACCTGATTACTTTCAAAAATAAATTAAAAGATTATCTCTTAAATGGTCAATGACATAAGGCAATTACATACAAAGCCAAACCATGTAACTCTATTTCTAATGATGTGACCATCATATTCTATTTAATTTCATTTTATATCTTCCCACCACTGTATTTGCTACTGTTTTTACTTATTCTATTACTCACAATGCCACAATCTATGTAAAAAAGAAGAACCACAGTAATTAATGGAATAAAGTGTTTTGACTTTGAATTTGACTCCCAGTCCCTCTCTCTCTCTTCCATTTTCATCTTTATTCTTCCTCTCTCTCTCTCTCTCTCTCTCTCTCTCTCTCTCTCTCTCTCTCTCTCTTCCCTTTTCATCTTTATTCTTCCTCTCTCTCCTCTTTCTTTTCCATCTCTCTTCTCTCTCTCTCTCTCTCTCTCTCTCTTCCTCCCTCCCACCCGCTTCTCTCTCTCTCTCTTTCTCCCCCCCCCCCTCTGAGATTGGTTAGAATGGTATTGCTATATGATGTATGATTTTGCTTGGCGTTCACTGCCCACTCTTGTCATAGAAAATCAGCATTTGCATGCTGACTGGTGTGATAAATGAATACATAAATAATCAAATTATATTTAGTAAAAAGTAAGGAAAGCCCAGATGCAGTCTCTGTGAAGAAGGGAATTGGGAATGATATATA